ATGGATAGATGATAGATATCAACAGAGAGACAGACAGACAGATGATGGATAGATGATAGATATCAACAGAGAGACAGACAGACAGACAGACAGACATTTTAAAGGTCACTGTACTGCTTAACTCAGAATTAACATGGCTGCTATTGTACCAGGACAGAGCATTATCTTGCCAACAGGAGCTGTATTTTAGTCCATGGGCTGTCCTGGTTCTAAAATCCCAAGGAACCAGTTCTGTGAAAAGTCTTTGAGGGGAAATCCCTGTCCGTCTCCGAAGACCGTATTTTATCCTAGTTAGAGCAATAGTCTGACTCAGTAAATACCAGCTTCCTGTGTGCGTGTTCTGATCAAATGGGGATTCTCTTTCCAGGTAGTTATTATGGTCTGCCTTATGGTGCTGGCAAGCTGGCTTTCGGTGAGTCCTCTTGGCATGTCTTCGGTTCCTAAATCCTTTGCTCAGTGGCTGTGCAGCAAGGTACCAGTGAAGCTGGGGGCTTGATGGAAATGAGCACAGCTTGGGGCCTTAAAGCAACTGAAGTATCACCTGGATTCCAGATTGCACAAACTTGTCTTGTGTACCAACTGCACCTTTTCCTGGACCAGGAGGCCTTGCTCACAGTCACTCATTGTCAGGCCTAGCCCAAGGAACTCCAAGAGACAATGCAAAATCAGTTCTGCTGTGTTTATTAGCTACAACCTCTAGCAAGAATCTCCCCAGACGGAACCCCATCTCCCAAGCCAGCCAGCCACAACACCATGAATTCCTCAGGGAGGTGCCAGCCTCATCCTCTTGAAGTTCCCACGCTCTTGCGGTGAACTAAGAACACGCTTATCTCCCCGAGCCTGGCCTTCATAATTCCATTCCATCACACTCATGCCTTGGTCACTTCCTGTTTGGATTGCTGCAACATGCTCCATGTGGGGCTACCCTTGAAGTCTACCCAGAAGTTACAACTGGTCCAGACATGTGTAGTGTTGGGTATCCCTAGGTTTGCCCATATTACACCCCTGTTGCGTGAGTTGCACTGGCTCCCAGTTTTCTTCCGGGTGCAATTTAAGGTGCTGGTTATTACCTTTAAAGCCCTACATGGCACGGGGCCAGGTTAACTGCAGAACTGCCTCTCCCTGAGGGCATCTGTCCATCCCACCAGAGTGGATAGGGTAGGCATGCTCCAGTTCCCTTTTCTTAAACATCACCATTTTATGGGACCTAGGAAGTGTGTCTTTTCCGTTGCAGCCCCTGCCCTAAGATCTGACAGGCCCCTATCCTTCCATCATTCCAGAGAACACTTAAAACCTGGCTCTTCCCCCAGGGAGAGGCGATGGGATAGGGCGATATCAGGGTGGGACAAGAATGTGGGTGCATCAGAGAACTGTGGCTGTGGACACCAAGTTTTTCTGCTTTTAGTTTTATTGCTGTTAGTTTTATACTGGCTATGTGAGCAAGTCTTCCTTACTGATTTCTATCATTTGGTTTGAATCTAGTTTTAAGCCTCATGGCTTTGATTGGAATTGTGGTTTTGGATAGGAGGCAGAGTTGAGAATTATTTGCAAATCTTTTGAGCCTGCTGCCTATAGAATGACAACCCTAAGAGTGGAGTGAAATTGGATCTAGTTCCATAATTAGATGTAAAACAGCCTTTCCCCAACCCAGTACCTTCCAGGTACCTGGGGATTACAGATGTAGAAGTCTAACACATATGGAAATTACTGGGTTTGGGAAATTGTATAAATATGCAAGGTGTCAAGAGATTTCTCTCTCTAAAATACAACAGGGATGAGTAAAGGAGATACAATCCCACCTTACTTATCAACATCTGGGAGATATTTTTTACCAAGAAGACCCCAATGTCCCCTTCTTCCTCCAATTTCCTTTACATTTTGTATTAGACAAAAATATGAATAGCTATTCTCAAGTAGATTTGCCTTCTCTCCATGGTTTTAGGTGGGCCAGGTGGTGCATTTGCTGGAGGAGCTGCAGGGAAGGCTGGCTATCCAACAGGCACAGGTAAATGTCTTTATGAGTTTGGCCAAAAGTCAGACAAGAACGTTAGCAAAGCTCTTACAAGATGTGCCTTGCTGTCTTCCTGCTCTGGGCAAATTTGGCATTGTGACATGGTCAGAGAACGCCAGGGATGTGGGGAGCCTGTGGCCCTCCAGATGTTACTGAACAACAGTGTTTTCTACTATATCTGTAAAGGAATTTAGAGATGACCTTGGAAGGTATGAAAGAATTGTTAAGGGTAGACTTGGAGAAGCAATTACACAGTCCAGAGATTTAAGCCAGCATGAGAAACTCAAATTACTCTGTCTTGATTTTGTTTATCAGAAGATAGGCCAGAGAGAAACTTGAACTGGTTTCATAATTCTGCTATTATACCCTACAACAATAAATTAGCATTCCTGGAATCCCTGCAGTATCTGTTTCTTGATCTGGCCTATCTCAAAGAGCTGACAATATCTGAGTTTCCTTGCTTCTGCTGTTCAGTCATATTACTTATCCTGTTTTTCTAGCTCATCCCAGAAAGATCAGGGTTTTGCCCCTACCAGTGAAAGGACGCTGAATACTTGGAGGTAGGGCGATGGTGAGGAACCTATGATCTTCCAGATGTTGATGAATCATAACTCCCAACATCCTCACTATTGGCCATGCTGGCTGGGATAGCTGAGAATTATAGTTCAGGCAAATCTGGAAGCCCACAGATTCCCTAGTCTGTCTTAAGCTTTGGCTTCCCCTCCTCTTAGGGGTTAATCAGGAGTTCCCAATATCCTTCTCAATAATTGAACCTGCTTCTCAGTTGCTAATTCTGGAGAATGGTGATATACTTTTGGAGAATGGATATTTGTATTTTGGGATGATGACGGAAGAAGAGGGGCAAAAATATCTGAGGTTCCTCTGCTTTCTTCTGCAGGTGTAGGAGCTCAGGCAGCTGCTGCTAAAGCAGCTGCAAAATATGGTAAGTAACAAGCCAAAAAGAACCACCAGCACTTTTGCAGTATTCAAAAATTCAGCCTGCAGGCTTTCCACTGAACAGATATTTAATGTTTTAGAACCTATGCAGCCACTGGGCCCCAGAGCTCCTAATAATAGGACTTTAAAAAATGGCTAAATTTCAAAGATCTGTGTGTTATCACATGAAATCTCATGAGACTTTAGCCACTTTTTATTTAATTATTTTTAATCTTTGTTCTTGTTTGTTCTTATTGGCTTGAACCCACAATATCATGCAAACAGAATCCACTGAGCCCTCCATCACCTAAAAACTTCTGCTCTAATTATTAAAAGACTTCTGGAACAAAGTGCCTTAAAAGTATTTCCTTGACTATAAAAAAGGAGATGGTGCTTCCATGGAGATCAGTCCTGCAGACAACCATGTTTTCCAGACCTTAAGATCCACAGTAACTCAAGGATGGGGAAGGTGGAGGTCAAATGTTTTAGATGGACTACGCTGGGACTGGAAATATCTTCATTCCATTCTGCTGGGAGTCAAAGCTCTAGCAACTTTGACCAACGTGCATTCCTACTTTTCTCTCACAAGGCGCTGGAGTTTTGCCTGGGACAGGTGGCATTCCTGGAGTTGGGGCACTTGGTGGAGCAGGATTGTTGCCTGGTACTGGGGGTGTTCCAGGAGCAGGTAATTTCCTGTATATTAAATAGAAACATCACATCTGTCTTGCTGGATCATGGCCTGAGAATAAGGAAAGTCCATTATGGGCTACCATGATGCAGATAAAACTAAGATGGATAAAACTAAGGTCTACATGGCCCAAATTCCACCTCTACTTACTAGGTGCCTATCCACTCCCAGATGCTTATACGTCAGCTATGGAGAGAATGGCCATGCCCAGCTTTAATTATCCTTGGCTCCTTGGCTGGGGCTGATGCATGTCCAGCAAAATTAGAGGGCCATTGCTTCTCTTTCCCTCACCTAAAAGTGTAGAGTGCAGCTGAACTGACCCAAGACTAGCTGGTCATTAGGAGCCATCCTCACATTGCCTTGAAGTTCCAACACAGAAATGGATAAGCCCACCTATACTTGGAAGTCAAAGTGCAGCAGAAGCATCCTGGACCTTGTGGAGGTTGAAGCCTTCTGTGGGTGCATGTGACCATTCCTGAGACCCAATCTGACTTGACTGATCAATGGTTAGTGAAGCAGGTGTTATAACTGAAACATAAAGGAGATTTATATACAGGAAATACATGATAGGGATAGGTGAAACCTAGCACCTAGCTAGCTACATCCTACCAAGAGGGGTGTCCAAGAGGATCTCTTCTACCCTGGGAAGAAGGGTAGATGGAAATGACCGCAGATTAGCAAAGACGAGGCAGAGTGATAACGAGAGGGACACAGAGTAAAACATTAACTCTCTATCTACATCCTACTGCCCCTTGTGGCCAGTAGGTCATGGGGTGCTGAAGAGCCTATGCCATTGGATTTGAATGTCCAACCACACTTTTAATACATCTCTATTTTATATGGCTATAGGAATAGTTGGGACCCTACCTAAGACTCATTTAATCCAGCTATGCTCCCCCACAGCCATGCTACTTCAGCCATCATGGCCATGACCTTCTGAAGTCCAGCCCTCCATAATCCAGATATAGTAGGAGTATCTGTTCTTATTGGCATCAATGCCTCAAAAGTAGTAGGATGAGTGTCCTTCTCTCACCTTTTTCTTCCTTCAGGTGTGGGTGGACCAGCAGCAGCAGCAGCAGTAGCTGCCAAAGTAGCTGCCAAAGCAGCAGCTTACGGTGAGTTGGTTCATCTTCTTTAGATGGGCTGGAACTGGAACTGAAGCAAGTTTAGGAGGAGAAAGGAATGTATGGACCAAACTAAATGGGATGCCAAGAACCTTCTGTGAAATAACTTACCATTGGCAGAGAAAAAGAAAGTCTCCCTTGCTTTGAGCTCAGTTTTGACTTCACGGACACATCCATGTTGTTTTCTTGGCAACAGGATGAAAACGGTTTCCCGTTGCCTTCTTTTCTTTTTTCTTTTCTTTCCTTTTCACTTCCTAGTCCAGTCTTCAACCCTGGGGTTTCCTGGTGATCTGCCATCTAAGTCCTTACCAACCCAACCCTATTTAGCTTTCTCGAGATCAGCTGAGGTCAGCCAGATGCTGCCATCTGTTGCAACAAATGTTGCAGTTTGGAAAGAGGAAATACGAGGAGGTGCCTGTTTCTTCTGCACCGGTTACTGCTCCTTTGCAGTCCTTTCACCTGATGGGTTGTGAATCGGCTGTGACAAACATGCTTCCACGTTGGAGAGAGCAGGGGAAGAGGTGGCATACGGCAGAACCAGGCCAGGGCAGAATGAATCCTTTTCCTCCATCCAGAAGGCCCTCAAAAATGTACCTCCGTTCTCCTGTTTCAGATACTGAGCGAACCATGTTAAATCTTCCAAACCTTCTAGCTAGACTTAACAGTAGCTAATCTCTCTCCTGAAGGGATCTGATAGGAATGGTGGGTTTGGGGTGGGAAATTTTGCTCCTGTCTGTATGGCAGCAGGTTGCTGAACCTGATGGTTGCAAGCACTTCTTGTGTTCTTCAAAGCAAAATCTGGGAGATGGAGGGAAATCACCTGGATAGTTTCAAATCAAAAAGCATAGGATCAAACAGGATGGATTTTGAGCACCTCCTCTTTAAGTACTGAATATTGAACCTTTCCCACCTGCACCTGATCTGCTGTGCAGAGAGCTTTGGGAATTGTAGTATATTGCTTGCTACCACTTTTTCCTGGACCGTTTCAGCCTGCCATCTGTTTTTTATTGAAGAAGTGCTGGCAATGGGGAGTCATGCTGTTTGAGGGATTTAAGGAAACCACAGCAGCATCAGGTTTCACCAGGGTGAGCATTTCTAGGCAAGATAGTGAGACTGTGTGCTATTTTCCAGTCTCTGAAGTTCTGCCCAAACTTCCATCCTGCATGAAAATCAAGGGCCAGTCAACTGATCTCTAGATTTCATCTTATATTCTCCATGCTCTTGTTGTAACAGCTCTCTGTATGTTAACCATCTCTCTTTGCCTGTTTCTTTTCTATAAAATGCTTCTTGTGCTGAGACCCATAAAGGCATTTTTGGGCACAATCTGGGTTTATATCTATTCCATATTCATAATATGGCGCTTCTAATGTAGTGATTTTTAAAAGCCACATTAACCTTTAACTTTATTTGTATCCCGTCCAAACCTCAGGTCGTGCCCTTCTAGTTCTAAGATTGTCTTATTTCTCAGCAGCACCTACTCCTTCATCCAAACCAAGCAGCAGGCTGCAAAATACAATTTCACCATCTTTCCTACTCTTAATGTGTCAGGGGTCATCTTGTGCTAGAAGCCAAAGTAAAGCATTGACTAGTTCTCAAAACAAACTGAACTACAAACCCATTTAGCCTAACACAGTGTATTATGGGAAACAAGACACTTCTGTCCTGGCTATGCATGCTCCCTTGTTAAATCCTAGGTTAAAGTTGAAATGCAGACTTAATCAAATCACTAAGGTCCTAATTGCCATCTTGGTATTTCCAGGGAAATGTTGACCTAGTTTTCTTATTGAACTAGGCCATGGTTGTAACATAATCTACAATTGGCTGAATTTACCCAAACACTAATCAAATAAATCACCTTGCAGCTTAGTGTGTTGTACTGTATGAACCAAAAATGAAAGCCAAATGTTGAACTGAGCCAATTCAAGATGGCCTCCCTTTCTAATGCTGAATATTGGTTTGTGGATAACATTGTAAATGTATTAGGCACTTCTTCCAGTGGCTCGAAAAGACACTTGGCATGAAGTTTGAATAATAGCTGCATTTGTTTATGCTGAATTCATGTACTTATCAATCCAATGGTTATGATAGATCTGCCAAAAATTCAGTAATGAATTTTGAATGAAGTAAACTAGGCCTGTTCTAGATATATCTTTCTTCTTTCACCCAATATGTAACTAAGCCCATATTCTTTTGCTTCCTTCTCCAAGTGGTGCTACTGATCACCTACTGTATTATAAGAAAGAGTTATCTGGTAATTTTAATGTAACTTTTGCTGTGATAGGATAGCCCTCCCAGCATCTGAGGCCATAGTGATAAGACAGTGATGGGCAATGTGTTTGCTTCTATGGCTTCTATGCTTCTGCCTTTTGTGTTGTAGAAATGAAAACTGCCTCTAAAGTGAAATCCAATGGAGAAAGCAAGGATCCTATCATAGCTCTGCTTGGGTAGCAGTACCTACCCAACCACCTTCTTACATGTAAAAATTTGCAGCAAATAAGTCCTGAGTTTTATTTAACTGGCATAAAGATTTGCACACAGCAAAACAAACAAACAAACAAATCCTTCAAATGCAAATTTTAAACCTTGGGAAACCATCCATCTCTTCTACAATGCATCTTGGTTGGGGTACCCTACTGTTTATTGTGGGCAGGTAGAATATTAAGATATATGATGCATTTTCTGGAAAAGGGGGGCTGATTTGGTGCACTCCACTGAACCTTTAAGATGCACTTTAAAGGTGGGACTGAGCTGGTCTGAACTGACAGATATCTTTCCACCTAGGAACATCCCACACATTGCAACAATTTGGTTTAATTATGTACCATTAAGTTGGTTTTGACTCTTAGCGACCACAATTCTCTCTATGACGATTTGTTCCTAACTTTGTCCTTCAGGCCTTCCAACAGTGCACCTACCACCACTGCTACTGAGTCCACCCACTTTGCTGCTGGTCATCCTCTTCTTCTCTTTCCTTCCAACTTTCCCACAATTGTAGACTTCTCAAGAGAGTTAGATTTTCACATAATGTGTCTAAAAAATTATAAGCATTGCCACAAAAGACAGTCCAATTAAATTTCATCTTTGCCTCTCTTCCCAACCTGAAACTAATTCTCTGGTGCTCACTTTTTGTTCCATTATCTTACATGCAGATTCACTGCATTTATTAATGTCTTTCATTTTTCACATGAAATAAGAACAGTGCAGAAAGAATGGGAAAGTTTTTGTTGAAACTGCCCATTGTGATAGGCTATGTATTACCCAGTTATAGCTGTGGTGAAAGTCTGAATTTTTCCACTGATTTCTGTGGGCAGTCTTTCTTCTCAGAGGTGGAGGTGGGGTGTGGGTGATGCCAGTGAAATGTCTGTGGAAAGCAGAAATTGACCTTGAGCATCACTCTTCCCTTTTCACTATCTATGACTCAGGCCCTGTCAGAGGTAGAGCCATCCAGGAGACAGGGTGCCATCTAGTGGACCATTCTGGTTACAACATGCCTGAATGTTTCAAATGAAATGTTTTGAACTTCCTAGAAGAATGGGTTGATGGTGGTCACAGGGTACCTTGATCTATTATCCCCATGTAGCAAGAACTATTGAGATGGTAGGTAGAAGGAGTATCACAGGTGCTGTTTAGACTATGACTCTTAGGTTTCTACATTCAGAATGACTGATTCATAAATATTTGGAAGGCATCATGTTGGGAATGGCTAATTTAGAATTACAGGAAAATCTGCTGGTGAGATTTGCCTAATTTTATCATCATCATCATCATCATCATCATCATCATCATCATCATCATCATCATCATCATCATCATCATCATCATCATCATCATCATCATCATCATCATCATCATCATCATCATCATCATCATCATCATCATCATCATCATCATCATCATCATCATCATCATCATCATCATCATCATCATCATCATCATCATCATCATCATCATCTTCCCCCAGGTATTGTAGGAGGAGAGCCATATTCGTTTATGATGACAAAAAATCAGTCATGTAGCATCTTTTCCAACTAACAAAATTTATTAAAAACCATAAGCTTTTAATAAGCAGATAGTAACTTCCCATCATGACAGACCCTCTTTGAAGCAGGAAGTTTCCATCCCTGTACCTCTGGGCGATTCAGCACCAGCATTAAATATTTATTCATAAAATATTACTTTTATTTTATGATTATAATCCTCACAGCTGCCCAATTAGGTAGTAGCAAAGGCTTCAATTACTACTTATTGCAACAGTAAATAAAATAATTATTATAAAATTAATATTATTGCATTCATAACAACAGAAGTCCTTCCTAGGTGGAAGTACTTGCCTAAACTTGATCTTGGAAATTGAAACAGGCTTGGAGATGGTTAGTACTTAGATGGGAAATCCCAGGGCTGTGGTTAGACTGTGAAGTGAAAAAAAAAATTCCTGTATGAAGACAGTGACAGTGACCACTTCCAGATCATTGCCAAGAAAATTTCACAGACATAGCTATGACGTCATTAAGAGTCAAGCTCTGCTCAAAGCACACTTTCTCTGTCCTAATTATAACATAATATTAATTATTATAATTAGTGTTACAGTAATTATAGTATTGTGGATAGGTGGTTCTGTGGTATAGGAATTAAAGAGTTTCAACAGAGGTGAATATGTGTAGCTCAGGGCTGAACTGTGGAGTCCTTGGGGTTCTCTGAGTTTGCATGACCTGAAATGAAGTTTCTCTTCCCCAGCAAAAAACAAGTACGCAGTTTGGGATTGTTCCTAGCATCATCCTTGTCATGGGTGGTGCAAGTAAACTCCTTAGTTAGGAGCCCCTATCATCACCTTTTAACCAACTACACCCTTTTCTGGACATGAGCAACCTACCTGCAATAGCTCATGTCCTGATGTCCTCGTATATTTAGACTACTACAGTGCAACCTTTGGAAGACCTGAAGGACCAGGTTGGGGACAGATTCGCCTGGAGAAAACTTAGTAGTCACTATAAGTTGACACTGATTTAATGGCACATGATGACTACAATGCGCTGGGGGGGACACTACCCTTGCACTGCGGCTGGAGCAGAACGTGGCAGCTGGGTAGTGGAGTGGGGCACCCGAACATGTGCATGTTATACTTTTGCTAAGCAATGGCATGATATATAAAGACCTTCAGTGCCACAGACCAGGACAATTGCTATGGCTGGAGGGAGAATGCTTTTGTCTAGCAGGTTTCTCAATGATGGCACTTTTAATTGTGGAACATTCTGCCTAAATGTCTCTCAGGCATCTACAGTAGCATTTTTAGGTCCCTGTTAAAGACTTAGCTCCCCACCTGGGGCTTCTTTGTACGGCTGCTATAAGAAAAGTTTTGATTTCATTTTTGTTCTTTCCTGTACTTTAAAATTAAATGTTAATATAAACTTAGTTATGGCTAGTGTTGGTACTTTTATTACTGATTGTAAAATGCAATGAAATGGGTAATATTGGGAAGTAGCATACAGTTTTATTAAATGCATTATAGTTATTATAATAAAGCTCTTCTCCTGCTCTCTCCAAATATGTGTACTTGTATGCATGCACATGCACACGCACATAAATATAATTACCAAGGTTGAGAAATGTTGGATTGTGTAGGAGAACTTAGCATAGCCTTCCTTAACCTATTAAGAGATCTAATAGTGAGCATGCTAGCTGGGGAATGAATGGAATTATAATCATTATAACAGTTATACTTATGGATGGTTTCAGCCTCAGGAAGACTGACCTAATGAATAAGTGACAGAAGTTCTGAACGTCCAGAAGTGATCTGAAAGTTTCCTAAATCACAGGTTACATGATGGAAATGACCTTGGGAGATGTGGAGAATAGATGCTGCCTAGGGAATGATCAGATAAGAGGGGGCATAGCCTGCAGCTGCATAACTGAAAGAGAAAGAAACTCAGAAAGGAACCTCCCTAACTTATCAGGCTGTAAAAGAGACGGCGGGAGATTTGTACTTTCAGACTTGCAAGTTTCTGTTAATGTAGCCTTAAAATAAAGTAGAATTAGCTCATCTGGTCGTGTTTCCTGTCTAGTCTACCTGGGAAGGTGACAGGTTAGTATCCTAGCCACTATATTATTCTAGCCTTCCATCACAAGTCCTTCCATTTCTTTGTGGCTTGAGGATTGCAAAACAAGTAAATTACTAGTTTTTGACAATTACATCTGCATTTTTGACCATAGAGATTATGGGTGTAACTACCATTTCACCCACCAGCCTTTCATAGCTGATTGTGTGTGTGTGTTTATGTCTGTGTGTATTTATTTCTTTATTGTCCATCAGTGGAAATTTTGAGAAAAGCATTTTTCTATCATTAGCACTTTCTCTCTGTTCTCCTCTGCTATTCTAATAAATTAACACCAATTATTTGTCAGCATTTGACCAGCCCATTTGACCAACATTGGTCAATATTCAAGAGATTCATTACTCCAGCCAGTTTGAAGGGCAACATTCTCCCAGTTCCAGCCTGATTTGCTTGTGCCCTTTATGCCTTTCTTTCTCTTTGCAGGTGGCAGAGCTGTCCCTGGAATTGGAGTGGGTGGTGTCGGCGTTGGTGGAGTTCCAGGTGTTGGTGGAGTTCCAGGTGTTGGTGGAGTTCCAGGTGTTGGTGGAGTTCCTGGTGTTGGTGGACTTCCAGGTGTTGGTGGAGTTCCTGGTGTTGGTGGACTTCCAGGTGTTGGTGGACTTCCAGGCGTTGCACCAGGAGTTGGTGTGGGAGGTAAGGAGGTTAGGGGAAGAGGAAGAGGAAGAGGAAGAGGAGGAGAAGATGAAATCAGGTTTGCTTCTATATCACAGACAAATTCCATTTAGTCCAACAGCTCTCAGTTATAAACTTGTTCATTGGCTTCAAACATATTAATATCTATTCACTACTTTTAGGTTACATCACCAAGCATGTGCCCTATGGGAACCATACTACCAGATCAACGTCTTCTGAGACACACATCCTCTGTGGCATGTGTGAAGAGGGCAGAGGTCATCCACTCAAATAGCAGTCTCAAACAACACCCTATAATCGTAATCACTCTGATCCTAGTAATCAAAGCAGAAACCTAATTTTAACATCCATACAAGGAGCGGAACTGAACCCACCCACCCCTTATTTACCAAAACCCTGTTTCCCAACCTCTTCCCCCAGCCTGATACCAAGAACACTTCCATGCTGCTTCTGTCTCTACTCCTCATCTCTTCAAAACCAGTTTGGGGCTGATCATTATCAGCTGATCTTAAAATGTTGAGAAGGAGCAGAATCTGGGTTCTCTCTCCAGCTACTTAGTAGGAGAGTGCAAAGAACAGTGAATCTTCACTACCCTGCTTCACAATGCTACAGATGCTGGAGTAATAAAAGTCCTTTCCCACATTCCCGCACCTTACAAAAGGGAAGTACAAGCACCCTATCTTACCCAGGAACCCACTGAGTAGAACAGAAAAGAGGGCAAAACAGTCACATTCTTATCATTTTACTTCCTTTGCTTGAGTTGCTATAGGCAGATAAGAAATGAAACCTATCAGAGGTAGAGGTGGGCAGTATTTAAATCCAAAGCAGAAAAGTCAGACATCCTGGTATCACCTCCTTTACTCAAACACAGCTACTGGGTAAGCCAGGGGTCCCCAAACTCTCATTGACCCTTCCATGAAGGTTTCAGATTGTTCATCGACCCCCAAATATTTATTATATGAAAATAATTTAATAAGTACTACTTTAACTAATACAGCAATACTACAAATAATAATCATGATTGCTTATTTTCTGCCGTGGATACAAATACTGCCCACCTCTTGTTGGAACAACACAATCAATCCATGCTGCATTTTAAAGTGGGATCATCAGAGTTCATGCGTATTTGCCTGATTTTATGCAAAAATACCCGAGCAGTAGATATTAGAGCAGTGTTCTTAAACTGTTTGACCCAATTACCATTTTTCCAGTCTCGAATAACGTCATTACCTCGCCCAAACAAAAACACAGACTGTTGTTTTACGCGAGCATCTAGGCAAAGCTGTCCCAAACTGGGTCTTCAGCTCAGAAACAAGCAATTACAAATTGCTCCATTAACCCCAAGATGTGCCCAGCTGAAGAACCACTGTATTGGAGGGAGCAAATTACTTTTCTCCTTAAAACAAAAACCCGCAAACAGAAAGCTTTGGTGGCTATCGCTCCTGAGTGGAGAGGCAAGGTGACCCGAGAGCTTGCGCCAATTGGACAACCATCCACTCACGCCTTGAGAATGGGCTGCAAAATGCAAGTCTAGCTGACTTACGCTTTCAAGTATGCTGCAGCCGAGTGTGAAATTAATCAGTTCAGCGGGTAAACCCAGTAGGCAGTGTGGGAAGACCTTCCTCTGAATCCAGTTCTGGAGTGGTGGGAAATGAAGTTGAAGGGAAGAAAAAATGTCCGATATGATGAACTGAGGGAGTGGGCATTCAGTTCCCATCTTTTCTTGTTTTAAGGTTAAAACTCAATCCCTCTTGTTTTCTGTATTAGCACATTTCCTCACAATGCAGTGCCAGCAGCACTCAGTGTTTTAAGATTAGTGTCTGATTTGTTTCTGGTTGCCATCTGTCCTTTGTTATAAGCGTAAACACTCACACACAAGTGCACGGAGGATAGCTTTATCTAAGTCACCGTGTGAGGTAATAGCAAATGAATCAGCCATGTGGGGAAAGGTTTGGAATGATTACATTTGTTTATTACAACAATATAAAGAATAAGTGCATGAAGCAGTGTTTCTCTAGAAAAGAACGAAATAGCATATGAACAAAGTAAATAATACAGCAATTGAGTTGGCTTTGAGAATTTTTATATTCCATGGTCTATAAAGAGAATAGGATGCCAGCGAAAAGCTTGCTTCATTACAACACTGTATTTGGCTTATAGCAAGTATGGAATGTTTTTTTCCTCCAGGGCTACTGTCCTGGGGGATGGTATATAGTCTCTTGGGGACTGTCTGATGGTTGTGGGGGGCCAGAACCCAAGTGGGCAAGGGAACCCACCTTCTTTTTGCAACCCCCTTCTCTTCATTCCCAACCTGGGTGTCTCGCTTAAAGAGGGCTTCTGAACATGAAGTAAAGGCTACAAGCTGATCACCTCTTATTTTATGAGGCAGAAGTGCTGGCGGGGAAGGTGCCATCTCCCTTACACATCTGGATAGTTTCCAGTTTTAACCAAGCCAGGCTGATCTAACCAGCCAGTACCAAAAACCCTGCTTAAGTATGATGCCAGCAAAAAGTTCAGAATAAATTGTTTTATCTCCTCCCCTTTGGCCCCAAAGGTACATTTCCAAGATTTATTATAATGAGTGTAAGATTTTCCAGTTTTGCATTCTGATCACAGCAAGGTGGAAGATTGTATTTGAAATGCATTACATTTCTATTATTAAGCTATACCTCCTGTTTCTTCTCTTGTTTGAATCTGCCAGGAGTGAGTCCAGCAGCAGCAGCGGCAGCAGCAGCAGCTGCTAAAGCAGCAAAATACGGTATGTGTCCAAATTATTTGAAAGCTGTTTTTTTGCGGGGAGGGGGGAGGAGAGCAGGTGTCTTACTTTCAAGCCTTTAGTTCCTGGGATGGGCAAAGTTGCACTTCGTAAGTGTGCAGCCTTAGCGACACTTCAGAAGCTAGAAGGGTAGGTTGGTAAATCCAGCATGACAAGTTACAACCGCTGCTGAAAACAACACATTGGGCTGTCATCGTACAGACAGTTTTCCCACCCCCTCTGACACCCAGCAGTATATGCCAGTGTTTCTCAATCTCAGCAACTTTAAAATGTGTGGACCAACTCCCAGAATTCCCCAGCCACATGCTGGCTGGGGAATCCTGGGACTTAAAGTCCACATATCTTAAAGATGCTGAGGTTGAAAAACACTGGTCTATACAACACAGTGGAGAGCAGAGAAACTTGTGACATTTTGGTGGGGAAAAATAGGAGATTTTGAGTTTCTGCTTTCTGGCAGCAGTAAATGCAGACCACCTGGTACCCCTAAAGTATCTTTGGAATCAGGGAAGGTTTTGATCAATTACATACTTCTTAACACTTTCCATATTATCTAGATGAAACAAACTAGAAGAAATTACAATTTGAGATTTTTTTTTCCCTCTAACCATAAATTACAGAAGATGAAATTTAGAAAATCCAAATGACTTTCTTAACATGTGTAAGTTGCAGAATTCAGACTTTCCAGGCAGAATGTGGATTGACTGAATGTCCAGTTATATTCTGGTTTTGCTTATAAAGGAAGCAGTTACTGTATGCAGTGATACTTTTGCAGTTTGGAGATGTTACGTGGATTTTTACCCGGGAACCTCCCCGACCCACCTCCCGTAGGGCTGAGAGTGAGTGACTGGCCCAAGGTCACCCAATTAGCTTTGTGCCTAAGGAGGGATTAGAACTCACGGTCCCTGGCTTCTAGCCTGCTGCCTTAACCACTACACCAAACTGTCTCATGCACCACATATATAGAAGGCTAGCAATGAGATCAATAAAAATCTTAAGAGGAATAGAACAAGTCTTTTGGATCAGTGAAAAGCCACAAAAGAAGAGACTGAGCAGAATTGTCATGAGAGAGAATTCTCCACATAGGAGGCCATCCATAAAAGGCTGTGCCTGTGCATCCCCCCAGTCTGAGCGACCAGTGACGGGCCAACAACACAGCCTGTGAAACTGATCTCAGACCTTTGTGTCTTTGCCTCCATGAGTAAAACATATACACAAATAGAGTTCTTGTATATCAGTGAGTGGAAGATATCCATATGTGGATATGAATTCAGAATGAACAAGGAGAGATTAGTGCTTTGGGAGCCATAATCTAATATAGGATGTTTTTGCTTTAATGTGGCCCTTAGATAGTAGCATGCAGGCAGTTCCCTCCTGAGTCTGCCCTGGTGATTAGCATCACTGAGTGATCACATTGCAAGGATTTTCTGAATAAGCATGGCTGGTAGACAGCAAGTATTTTGGTGGGTCTGTTTTGAGTTTCCATTGAGTTCCCACTCCAGTTGAGTTTCCATCTGAGTTTCCAGCTAGTTGAATTGAGTTTCTACTGAGTCTCCACTCCAATTTCATAATTTCTTTCCCAGGGCTGGTTCCAGGTGGCGTTGGCCCTGGTGGCGTTGGCATTGGTCCTGGTGGCATTGGCGTTGGTCCTGGTGGCATTGGCGTTGGTCCTGGTGGTGTTGGCATCGTCCCAGGTGGCGTTGGCGTCGTTCCAGGTGGCGTTGGCGTCATCCCAGGTGGCATTGGCGTCATCCCAGGTGGCGTTGGCGTTGTCCCTGGTGGTGTTGGCATCGTCCCTGGTGGTGTTGGTGTTGGTGTTGGTCCTGGTGGTGTTGGCGTTGTCCCTGGTGGCGTTGGCGTTGTCCCTGGTGGTGTTGGTGTTGGTCCTGGTGGTGTTGGAGTTGTCCCTGGTGGCGTTGGCGTTGTCCCTGGTGGCGTTGGTGTCGGCCCTGGTGGTGTTGGCATCATCCCAGGTATTGATGGAGTTCCTGATGTGCCAGCAGTCGCAGGTGCATTTAGATAAGTTGAAGAGCTCCGTATCTGTATGGATTCTGTCCTGTAACTCAACTGTGTTTTTTATGTACATCAGGAGCTGGAACATCAGCAGCAGCAGTGGCAGCAGCAGCCAAGGCAGCAGCAAAAGCAGCAGCGTATGGTAAATATCCAACCTACTTCTTTCCTCATTGCATCAGAGTTTGTGAATATTTATTTATTTATTTATTTATTTATTTATTTATTTATTTATTTATTTATTTATTTATTTATTTATTTATTTATTTATTTATTTATTTATTTATTTATTTATTTATTTATTTATTTATTTATTTATTTATTTATTTATTTATATGGCCGCCCATCTCACACAAGGTGACTCTGGGCAGCGTAGCAGGAATAGCAGGATACAAAGCACTGAAGCAAAATGAAGATCTATTTCGGAAAGCCAAAGCATTAAATAAAATATAGAATGGCACGTACCATAAATGGCTGACTGAGACATCTTAAAATGTATTGATTGATTTATTATTTAAATTATTACAGACATTGAGCCTAATAAAATATGTAACATTATAAAGAATCCATAGATATTATTAGTTGTTTTTTTAAAAAAGCAAGTCTCTCTGTAGGAATAATGCCTGTTAAATTAATTTGAAAATCCATATTAAAGACCTTCACTGGGTCTAATGTAAAGTATTAATATACATGTTAATATATCATTAGATAATTCTTCTACCAAACCAAGTTTGTCCACCCCATCCCCACCCTTCCGTGAGATCCAAGGCATTCACTTCAGAAATGCATTCAGCTTCTACCCACTAAAACAACCCTTCAAGCAGAATCAAAAAAAATTATCACCCCTCAGTTTATCACTCCCCTAATCATTTTCATTTCTGTAAGCCAAAATTTATCATCTTTGTAGACCAGTGTTTTTGAAACTCGGCAACCTTAAGATGTGTGACTTCAACTCGCAGAATCCCCCAGCCAGCATGCTGGCTGGGGAATTCGAAGAGTTGACGTCCACACATCTTAAAGTTGCCGAGTTTCAAAAACACTGTTGTAGACTTTGAGTTGGGGATCTTGCATTCTGATTGTTTCTCATTTGTACTGAATCAAATTTGTCAATCACGCAAAACCAAACTCAACATCTCAGCATCTTTGGGGAGACAGTAGAAGATTCTGCCAAACTTCTGAATTGCAGTCAGTTTCCGTAGTTCTAGGAATTGGAGGGGGGAAGCTTCAATGATGATGTTTTTGCATTCTTGAACATTCCATTTTCTCTGTCTCTTTAGAGGTAGAGATAGAGAAAATTTGCAAATAAATGGGATGGGGTAGAAATAATATCTCATCCTATTCCAACAAACATTACTAAACCAGATAAAAACATAAACTGCTCCTTAATCTATTTGTTTCAATATCTTTTTTTAGGAACTGGGGTAGTACCTGGCAGACTTGGGCCTGGTGGAGTTGGAGTGGGACCTGGTGGAGTTGGAGTGGGTCCTGGTGGAGTTGGAGTTGGAGTGGGACCTGGTGGAATTGGAGTGGGACCTGGTGGAGTTGGAGTTGGAGTGGGACCAGGTGGAGTTGGAGTGGGACCTGGTGGACTTGGGCCTGGCGGACTGGGACCTGGTGGACTGGGACCTGGTGGACTGGGACCTGGCCAGATAGGTAAGTTCTTATGTATGCAGGAAGTTAACATAAAAGTGCAGAATTACTGCCAATGTCATTTTGTGCCAACTCTAAAATGGGTGGTTAGCAGTTTAACTCAACAGTGGGAAAAGTCCCATAGACTTAGGTCATTGAGTCCAACTCCAGACTCCTTGGTGAAACAGTGTTACCTGGTGGGGCCTTGGAAGTATGCCTTCTCTGTCATGGTGCCTCTTTTATGGAACAGCCTTCCCCAGAGATACAGATGGCCCTGACCTTGTTGGTCTTCAGGAAAGCACTGGGCCTAAGATGCTGATGGAGCTGACATGGTGTGGTTGATTTATGGATGCAAATTTTATCATTGGTCTCAACATTGTTTTTTGTTTAAATGAGGGGTATGTGAGTGTTGGAATTGCATTGTATCTTGTTTGCCATCCAGAATTCCTTCTGGTAGATGGGCAGCTATATAAGTTTGTTTAATAAATGAATTAAATAAACAAACTCCTTGCTCAGTGCAAGAATCCAAGTGAAAGCATCCCTGAAAAGTTGACTGTCCAGTCTCTGGCTGGAGATATCCAGGGAAGGGAAGCTCACCAGCATTCTGGGTAATTGGTTTCACACTTAAATGGCTCTTACCGTTAGGAAGTTTTTCCAGCATTCAGTGGAAACTGCCTGCCTTTAACTTAAATCCATTATTCCATGCCCTGAGGTCTGTAATGATAGAGAACAGGTCTCCTCTGATTTTTTTCTGTGTGATAACCTTTCAGATATTTGAAGCATGGTACCATATACCTCCCCAGGCTTTTCTTCTCAAGGCTAAACATGCCCTGCTCCTTCAATCTCTCTTTGTAGGAGTTAGTTTCTGGTCCCTTTATCATCGTTGCTGACCTTTTCTGAAACTATTCTAAATCCTTTGACTCCTTCTTAAAATGTGGTGCCTAGAATTGGCACAATACTTCAGATGGGTATTATTCCCATGGATTGGACACTGTATCTTCACTGATGCAGCCTAAAATTGTGTTTGCCTTTCTTGCAGCCACACTGCACTGCTGATTCATACTCAGCTTGCAATTATGGCTTCATGGTTATTCAGCTGAAGTTAGGCTGCTATTGTGGTTCTTAGGGTGATCCCAACCCTGTCGTGAGCTGGGGAACTATGCAGAGTAGGTCTTGGGGATCCAAAGACCTCATCTTTATTTTCCTTTTATTCCCAGCTCCAGGAACTTCTGCGGCCGCTCTAAAAGCAGCTGCCAAAGCAGCAAGATACGGTAAGGTCGCTTCAATCCAGCACAGGCAGCAAAATGCTAGTATTTTAGAGCAGCCTTGTAAATATAGTCAAGCTGAACTAGCAGTTTCTACTGGCAAACGCTAGGGCTGTGCAGCATTTCAGATTTGAAGGCAAAAATGTATGTTAGAAAGTGCAGAGGCATGTTTGTAGCACTTGTCTGCAACTCCTTAAACCAAATGTGTGTTTCTGCAGCTACAGAGGGCAGCCACACAAACTTTACAGGAGGGTTTCTCAACCTTATCAACTTTGAGATGTGTGGACTTCAACTCCCAGAATTCCCCAGCCAACATGCTGGCTGGAGAATTCTGGGGGTTGAAGTCCACACATCTTAAAGTTGCTGAAGTTGAGAAACCCTGCTTTACAGAGTTGCAGACAGATGCTATATGGGTGCCCCCACATACTCCAAATCACTTTTTTTACTTTTGAATCCAAATGCTGTACAGTCTTAGTAAACAGCAAATAGAGCCCTATACACAAGGAGAAATGAAAGAGTCGATACTTCTAGGCCTTGGTCTACTCCTCACTTAAGGAGAGAATCTGTTCAATGGTATTGAGTTAGGAATACTGGGGAAAAGTGGCCAGGCAGTTCTGCGTTTGAAGACTGATGTGTCTCGCCCTTTGGAGAGAACATAGTATCTGAAGAGGAGTCTGTCATGGATCACTCTCTCATCTCCTGTTATAGACATTGTATGAGTCTCTGTGAGAAAAAATCAGGAGGAATCTGGTAGCACCTTTTCTGAATAACAAATGTTATTAACAGGCATAAGCTTTTATGAACTGCAACACCCTTTCTCAAAGGCATAGAGCCTCTGATGCTCATGAAAGCTTGTGCCTATTAATAAAATGTGTTAGTCAGAAAAGGTGCCACCCAATTCCTTCTGATTTTTTGTCTCTCACCCCCCCCCCCATGGCTTTGGTTCTCTCTAATCATCATTTGATAATTTACAATTTGTGGTTCAGCATATCAGAAAATGGGATAAGTGTGTTGTGTGAATACAGCCATAGAAGTGCAGTTATATTCACCAGACCTTTCTCAAAAGTTAGGTATTCACCATAAGGCAAAAGCAAGATGATGAAACCAGTAGACAGGTATTCCTTGGGTGGTAGTTTTTATTATTACTATTAGGACCAATAAGATCTTTATCCCCATTTCTCCAAGTGCTCAAGGAAGCTTACATGGGAATCTCCCTTTTATTCCTGTAACAACAACCCCATGAAGAAGGTTAGTTTGAGTCACTGGTGCAATATCACCCATGGCTGTTGGTGGACTTGAGCCTGGATCTCCCCAGTCCTAGCCCCAAATCTTCATCACTACACCAGCGGTCTTCTACTATACCTGAAAAGCCTTATGCCTACACTGTAGAATTTCTGGCAATAGCAAGAACAATTGATTTAAGTGGCAGGTAATAGATTTATATCTAAGGATCATAAGCATTGTGTGGGATGGAGTTGACATGCCCAACTTCGGCCTGGCTTCCCACTGGAGCTGGGGAAATTGCATAAGATGCTATGATAGGAGGGCAAAACACCCACTCCAGTACACAGACATGCAGATATGCAATTCCCCATAATAACACTGCATCATTTAGCAGCACTATTCTAAGGGGACAAATAATTGCAGAAAAATGCTGCATCATTCAGCATCCTCATTTGGCAAAGAAAAGCAATTATAATAAGAACACAGTAGCCACTTGCAAGCGTGCTGAAAAAAGATAATGGCATAGGAGAAAATACAAAGCACAGAAGCTTCATGTTTTGAACTGAATATTTTCCTTGGAGAACTTCAACTTCTACACTAGTGTTTCTCAACCTTGGCAACTTGAAGATGTGTGGACTTTAAACTCCCAGAATTTCCCAGCCAGCATGGGGAATTCTGAGAGTTGGCTGGCTAGGGAATTCTGGGAGTTGAAATCTATACATCTTCAAGTTGCCAAGGTTGAGAAACACTGTTCTACACAACAGAGCAGAACAAAATGTTTGCTTTGCCCCAGCAGGAGCTGGGGGAGCAAGAGGTCTTGTGCCTGGAGGAGGGGTTGGCGGCCTGGTCCCTGGCGTTGGTGGTGTTGGCGGCCTGGTCCCTGGCGTTGGTGGTGTTGGCGGCCTGGTCCCTGGCGTTGGTGGTGTTGGCGGCCTGGTCCCTGGCGTTGGTGGTGTTGGCGGCCTGGTCCCTGGCATTGGTGGAGTTGGTGGCCTGGTCCCTGGCGTTGGTGGCCTGGTGCCTGGTGCTGGAACTGGACTTGTGCCTGGCATTGGAGGAATCCCAGGAGTTGGAGGTAAGCAGTTCTAGATGCCAACACTTATTACCAGGTGTATTTATTTTATTATTCCCAGATAGATTTCTATTTCTTTTGGACCACAGCAGAATTTCTGATCAGTTCATAATACAAGGCAACTAAGCCAAATCAGTGAAATGCCCTTACAAATTGAACTAAAAATGGCAAAGAATAAAACGCCAAGTTCCCCAATAGCATAAATACTTTCTGCAATAGCAAACTTTTTTTTACCTACCCTCCTCAAAGCTAGTAGGAGAGGGACCAAGTAAGCCTCTTAAGAGTGAGGAATTCCACAACTGAGGTGCCCCCTCCAAGATCATTTCAGTTTTCCTGTTCAGAAATGCTGCTGTGGCATTTGGCAACCCATATTGCAAGTCAAAGCAATGTTATCCCATATTACCTTTTGATTTTTAAATACTGCTGCTGGAAATCCAGGGAAGGGTGGGACTGCTTATAGGAAACATATCAGGGATCCATCAGTGAAAAATCTGGCAATGAAATATGGCTTGTATACTGTTTTCAACCTTTTTCAGTATTATTATTAAACACATGTTCAGTGGTGTTTCAAAAGACCCGTAGACCTGTCTGCCCAAAGCAAACAAACAAAAAAAAAACCCCATGGCTGCCAGTCAGTTTAAAGTGGGAAAGAGCCATAGTGCTGGTTCTGTCCTAAATGAGTGCATTAAAGGTTCTCTGCTGCTTTTGCTGACTGGTGTATTTATATAGCCATGCTTCCTACTGTTTTTACTACTTGGGAGGAAGGTAATATCATTTTGCTTACCCCAGTGTTGGTCCCACATATTCCCCCCCTTAAATAGAGGGTACCACAATCCTCCCCAACCCCACCCCGCGGCGGGGGGACTTGGGTGGAGAAATCACC